CGGAGTAGTCTCTGTTGCTGACCCTATGTGCAGAAAATATTCATAGGCCAGTCCCAGCCAGGATCGCCTCATTGATGCGCACAAGTTTATGCACTATTTTCTTCGTCATTAGGTACCGCCGACCCATATTTAAATCTGCTGCTGGCTAGACCTGGAACACATAAGACGCTGTGCTCTCTAGCTAGGAAATATGACTTGAGATAGCCTCCACGACTCAAGTTACACCGAAGACATGTAACGCTCAAAGCTTCTTCTAGATTTTTATGCCGTACGTCGTCGCATCTTGTCCAATTACACACCCCCTTAGTTTCCATGACAATGTTTGCAACGTGACGCAACCACACACCTTCTTACTCCCAGTAGCTCAGGCTCTCCTCTCTGAGAAATTCACATGCGCCTTGTTGCTATTGTACACGTCGCCATGGCCGCCTTTGAACTCAACATCGTCTGCGAGATGCTCCATGATACCGCGCCCTCGCTCCTGCATCCAGACGTGAAGGTTCTGAACGGTCATGAAAAACCGCGGGATGCAGGAGTTGCGGACCAGAAGGAGGGATAGAGGGGTGGGGCTGATGAAGCGATGGGACGCAATAGGTTAGGGAGAACCAAAAAGAAATTGCTGCCAGCGACGCTGTGAGTAGTCTTCTCTTACAAGCCTCCATTCAACTCCATGATGCCGTCTTCCCTCCGCTCTACGCTGGTTATTCTATCTATACAAAATCAATACGAGGGTAACAAATGCACAAATGCTCTTCAACTGCAACAGCTACCACGCACCGAGCGTCACCGCCCGCTAATTCTGACACATATCTCGGAGCAAGCTCACTTACACCGTCAAACATTTCCCTTGCATGTCCACCTAAAGTGTCTGGACGAGCATTTGCTCCTGGCTTTGACTACTTTCAAGTTTCAAATCCCATTCTTTTCGAAACCCAACTTCAAAATCCCACAAATGGGAGGAAACAGGGGAATAGAGAGCATTCGACATGTGGCCTGAAAATATATAGCAAAAGCTGTGGCATGCCAGAAAACACGAGCACGCGCAGCGCTCGCCGTATGTCCGTCACGTTGTTTGCCAAAACAATGTGATCCTGACGAGCTTAGTTCAGCAGGCCCACCGGCCAGATGCCAAGCGTGCATTATGCGCCTCGCTCGCGTCAGCACCGTGTGCTGCGATGGATCCTGCAGTCGGTCTGCTAGATTTGGGCGGACAACGTGTCTGGGAATTAACGTTCGTTACGGCTGGCTCATATGCAACGGGTTCGTGAAGAAAGATGGCGATTACTTTGCCATCTCACTCCTATACGCTACCTTTATTCTGTAAGGCCACGAGTCGCTTTGAGCGAGGCCCATTTTTGACAAAGGAAGGCCGCAGATTAAAACAAATCGGATGGCCAGGAGGCGCACGCCAGGAGATACACTTTGCCATCCGCTGTCAGAGCACAGGCTCAGCTGTCCTCCACGATTTCGGTGTCGATATTCATCATGCTCAGGTTGTATAACTTGAGCAAACGTCAGCTCTAGAGCGCCTTCTTTGACACTTCCTTAACGAGGTACGCTTGCTGATGGAGTCGGGCACGCGATACATCTATCGCCAAGATTGGTGCCGATCTGCGTCCATCGAGAGTAGCGCGGTTGCGTGGTGGCCCGTCTTCTGTACTCAACTTGTGATGGGTCGTTCCACTGTCGCAGGCCACTCAAATGCACCCCGATCACATTTGCGCCATGACAAGCGTGGACGTTACCGGTCGCGACCATGATATCAGAGTCTGGGCTGCGGAGCGATCACTAGTTTGATGTGTGTAGCGTTCTGCTCATAGAATGAAGTATCCTGTAGCTCAGTGATCTCAATGACGGCTCGTCTGCCACCACAAAGGTTCATACAAGCGGCCTTGTAACTCGGCCACAAAGCGATCACGTGTCTAGGTCGCGGAGTTCTGTGGCTTCATGGCTTTCAGTAATATTGGTTCAAACGTTCACCAGCAGAGGTCACCATCACAAGCTTGTTCGAAACTCGGGGCCACAGTTTGTGGCATTAGTCTCCAGTACTTAAGCACTTTCTCTATCCCTGTAAGTGATTCATTCAACATCTGTTCTACTGCTCCTGACATGTCTTCGCACAAGATAGCCAGCACTCAACGTTTCAGTGCGATGGAAATATCCAAGGCGCCGGCTGAATACGCTCTACTTGCTGAAGAGACTGAGAACGACTTTCACGGACCTATGCCTATCACAGAATTCTTTGACGCTTTCATGAAGACGAAGGATGACAAGAAACCTCCCAAGCGTGCCACCCAAATCTTCAAGAACATACCTAGGGTCGGAAAATTTGAGGATCGCTTTGTGCGTATATGTTCTCCTTTGTTATTAGAGACCGATATTGATTATATCGTATTCACAGAAAGATGCTGTCGAGGCATCTGGAATTTGCCAGAAGCTGAGATTTGTCAACACGACCGACGATCTGGATGCAGACTTCAAACGCAAGCCAGACATGGTTGCTTACAAGAGATCTCTGCAAGGCGGTGATGTAACTGACTTTGAGCCGATGGAACTGTGCATCGAGCGCAAGCCAGAGACTAAGGACCCATTCCAGGATCTCGTTCCCAGCGCGACCTCTGGCGATACAAACACAGTCTTACATCGCTCGCAGGAGGCGACCATGAATCGAGGACAAATCTGTTCATATGCAGGCTTGCAGCTCTCGGCGCAAAACCGGTTCTTTCTGTTCACTGTGGTCTTGCTTGGTGACTATGTTCGCTTCATTCGATGGGATCGCGCGGGAGCTATTGTGACTGAACGAGTGAACTGGAGGAGAGATCCTACTCATCTGATCATGTTCCTTTGGAGGTTCAACCGTTTCAATGACGTGCAACGTGGACGAGATACGTCGCTCACAAAGCCCATGGCGAGAGACATCAAGAGGGCGAAGAAAGCATTTGACGAACGAGCCAGGTTTCTGGCTAGGCTCCTAGGCGAGGACAAAGAGACGGCCCAATGCCTCTACTCGTCTGATGCCACCTTTCACCAGTTTTGTATCACGGACGACGACACGCACCGGAAACACTATTTCATCGCGTCGAAACCTCATTGGCAGAGCGGCAGCCCGTTTGGGAGAGCCACCGACGGGTACATTGCATATGACATCACGCGACAGAAACTTGTGTATCTGAAGAACAGCTGGCGGTACTTGGAGGATGGGATCGAGAAGGAAGGAGCCACCTATCGACACCTCGAACGATCAAGTGTAACCGGGATCTCGACGTTGATCTGTTCTCAAGACATTCTGGGTCAAGACACGCGGACGCACGAGTACAGTTCAAAAGAGTGGTTCTGCAAGACGACGAATCCTCCGAGGCGACACAGGCTCCATCGGTTAGTTCTGGGGGACATCGGACGGCCCTTGAGCCAATTTAGATCGTCAAAAGAGCTCGCCAGCGCTACGTGCGATGGGATGAAAGGTAAGTCGACGATGTCTTTGACACCTCGCATGCTTACCAACGTCTTTCTGTGCAGCACACGATCTGGCATTTAGATTGGCACGCGTGCGACATGGGGATCTCAGTGCCGGTAACATTTTGATATCTGATTCAGGCAAGGGAATCCTGATTGACTGGGATCTAGCTATGAGGTTGCCAAGCGAGGATAATCAAAGGGTTGACACTCAGGGGCCGCAGGGACCGACGGCGAAGTGGCAAACGGTGCGTCATAAGATAGCCATGTAACTCACCTCAAAAACTGAACTCCTGTTTGCAGGGAACTTGGCAATTCATCTCGGCGGCCCGGCTCATGGATCCTGACAGCACGCGCCATGAACTTTGTGATGAATTGGAATCTGGTCTTCACGTCTTGCTATACACCAGTGTCCGCTATAGAGCCAGCCATCTTCCTAAGCAACAATGTGATGACCTCAAGGTAGCCTTTATCCAGCATTTCGACAGCAGATCCGACACCGTCCAGGGGCGAACATCCGGAGGAAATGGTAAAAAACAGTTTTTCCAGCCCTCTGGGAGTATCGCCTTTTCTCAAGATAGCCTCGAAATGTTCCTCAGCACCCCGCATGCCGAACTTATTGAGGCGCTTCGAACATTATTCGTTCCGCTCTATAGTGCCCCGAGAGTGTTACGACGGATGCGAGAAATGGAGCAATCTCGGGACTCCGCCCTCGAAGTCCTCAAGACTTCAAACCGATTCATAGAGATCATCGAGCAGCACCTCGAGATGGACGGATGGATGGAGAATGATGTCAGCGATGAGCTGCGTGGCTGTGATCGTTTCTTTACGGAAGCACGAGGCCTGATATTTGCGGCGCGGCGTAGCTCGTTGTTGAGCGCTAACATAAAGCGCGGTAGTGGCTCTGCAGGTGTAGCTAATGCGACGCTAGCATCCCTTCCCCCTATGGCCGAGTCCAGTGGGGAAGACTAGTACGCTTGGTAATTTGATATGCTAGTTTTCCATCACAACTTACGATTTATGCTTTTCGATCCCTCCTCCATGTATAGTATGCGATTGTATGCATTACATCCTATGTTTCACCAATATGCCCTTCCCTGAGCTTTCTAATGTCAATCCTGTCTCGTTAGCCAACAGCCATCGGGCACCTGCGCCGTACTCTACAGCAATGCGTTCGTATTTTCGAAGCACCAGGCAGGGACGGCATCAAGTTGCCTCAGGAATTCCAAGCGGCAGGCAGACGTTGTGATCACTTGTTATGATGAACGGATGTTTGAAGAATTGGAGAGTCGTGGCAGATAAAGGACCTGCAGATCAAATTCTAGCACTGTACTTATCTGAAGAGATTTGTGCCTTACTGCTGTCAATGGAGATCGAGTGACAATAGACATCATCGGTTGCACGGCTTGGAAAAGCTGCACGGTAATCCTGTGGAGATTTTGCGTCTACGCAGCCGCAGACAAACAAAGCACAACGCCCAACATATATCTATAAGATTACTAGTATCATGAACAAGTCCATAAAACAACCTACACAAATCGAGCTATTCAACTGATTTCGCGCACACGACTGACATGATCCATCAGTACTCGTTCCATCTTAGCCGCGCCCTTATAATAGATGGTATCCTCGGGGTTGTATACCTTAGCGTTCTCGAACACCAGCTGAGCGTCTACAATGAACGAGTCGAGATCCGCATATTGCCCCGTCTCGAGTTTGTGCTCCATGGTAGAGAAATCTGTATGAAACGGTCGACGTGAGTAGGATTGGTCGACCATAATGGTAGTAGAACGGACCCGTCGGATTTTGAATCACATCGTAGTCATCCGGCACCTCCTGAGCGTTGACAGGTTCCTTGAAGGGCCAGGCCTGAGGGTGGGCCTGCAAGTCTGACAGGATAGATTCCATTGCGCTGCGCTCAAAATTCTTAGTCGAGGGGCGTGCACTGCAATGGCGTGAGTGACACACAGAACACATCCGAAGCAAGAATACACGCACGGAACATTCATATTGGGTATCCACCCGCTCTCCCCTGTTGCTCGTCAGTTGCCCCGCAACAGAAAAAGAAGTCAGTACACTAACTCAAACCTGGCACGTCCTTGGGATCGATGACGAGCCCTTCCCCCTTCCCATCCTGAAACTGTGGCAGCCCCTCGTACACAATATGATTCTTCGACATCTGCCTGATCTTTGCCAAGATCGCTTCCCTCTGCTGTGCTACGATCTCTTTCGTGGCGAGGTAATCGACCTTTCGTAGCATCGTGCATTGCATGATCGTTCCACCCTCGTAGTCCTTGATATAACCTGCCCATATGGCCCGATCAAGCGTGATGTTCTTTGAGAAACCTTGCTTCTTGAAATACCCAACTGCGAAGTTATCTGCGTATGTCAGAAAATGCATCATGTCGGGGGTAGGTCCGTCGGATATGAGCTTTGAAATGATCCATCAGCAGGGCACCGTAGCCCTGTGAGATATGTCTTCAGCTTTTACTCAGATGGAAGTAAGATCGATCGACGTACCTTGACTTGATCTGCTGATGCCGTCGCGAAAAAAGCGATTTTGGCGAAGCCGCGATGGGGGAACGGCCGGTAGCAAATTCCGCCCACGACTTTATATCCTCGTTTGCAGATGGCGAGACATTTCGAGTTGGAGTCGTAAACCAGGCGATCGATGTATTCGCGGGGCATCACAGGTAGCTGTTTCTGGAACAGCATCTTCAGGTTCGTCAGGATGACGAACGATCGCGGCTGCCCATCATTCTCGATAGGTAGGATCTTGATCACACCCTTTCGCAGCTCCTTTGCCGAGATTTTCTCTGGTTTCAGGGGAGGCTATAAGAGAACGTCAGGGTGAAGGAGGATGGTCCATGAAGAAGCTCACAGAGATCGTAGCTGCACTGGCTGTGTCGACGGTTACGCCTGTTGCTAACAGATCCAGCTGCCCTTCGTCTAATTGGTCTTCCATTTTGACCGGTGGCTCGTGTCCGTTCAGCTGCAAAAACTCCCCGTTCATCTCTGCTTGTTGCTCGCCTGTGGGTGGCGGTATTGACGCCGGAGCAGTCTGTGCTTTTGACTTCATACTCGACGCCTTCTTGCCGCTGCGTCTTCCATGCGGACGAGTGCCGTTGCTGGAAACGTGTGTCCCCACCATTCGGGATGCAAGAGGCCTGTTCTCGTCCTCGTCGTCTTCTGCGTCGCTCAATGAAGACGAGGAAATACGTCGTCTCTTTGCGGGTGGCTGTAAGAGTTCCTCGTCAAGCTGCGAAGAGACCGATGAAGGTGGTAGTTTGTCTGGGGAAGAAAGGGCTGTAAAGTGATACATGCTCCGCCGAGTTAGATGCGCATCGAACAACGGAACGCAGCCACAGTTGCTGAGAGTATGTGCTTCGATTGCGGGGAACTTACCGGGTGACGCCACATCAGCACTTTGTCGTGTCTGCTGAGAGCCTGAACGACCTGGTGAGACTTGCCGCAGGCCTTCAGAGCTCTTCAGATCATCAGATAAGTGCCGATAGGGATTCAGAATTTTCATGGTCTTCAGGACAATGTGCGCTCGTGCGATGCGTGCGCGGCGGTGCGCAGCGTCGAGTGGACGTGTTTGGAGAACAAGGCGTCGGGCGGTAGGGTACCGGGGAGCGTGGTCGTTCCCTCGCCTCCTAGGAGAGAGCAGGGGAAGAGACGCGGCGCGAGGAGCCGCTTCCGGGTGTGCGCAGGTGCGCGGGACAGGCAGGGCCGGGCAGGGAGGGGCAGGACTAGGGCTGGGGGAGGGCTAGCGAAAGTAAGTGATACGGACCTTTTTCATGGCATTCCTCTTCGCACCTTCTCTTCTCATTGACAATGCTCCTCACCCTCGCCGTCGACGCGCTGAAGCACGGGTAGCGTGACGATTGCGACACGCTGTGCGCAAGGGCGAAGCACGGGTGTGGCGGCGGCAGGGGCGCGTGAGGGAACAGTCGAAGGAGTTGTTGTGGCCAAGTGGACGCGTGTGCATCGGGCCGGGAGGATGGGAGGACGAAGGCGAAGGAAGTGGGTGGTGGGTGTGCATGGTGTCGAGGCGAGGGCGAGGGGACGAAGGTTGAGGTTTGCGCACGGACAGAGTTGAGTTAGAGACGGGTGCGAAGGACTCAACTACGCGTCGCGCGCACGCGACCACGACAACGAAGAGGAGGACGAGGAGGAGCACAGAAGAGGGAAGGAAACGGTCGACGAGGACATTTACAAAGGTACGTCGTCACTCGCCCCAGTTCCTCCCCCGTACACGCACACCTCCCGCCTTCTACCTGACTCTCCATGTCGCCTTCAACAATCTACCCCTCGACTCTACCCGCCCCCTCCTCTCGTCCGCTCAACCTCTCCCACATCCGACCCGCTCTCCCGTCCGACCCTCTCGACCCTATCGCTCGCTGTACTGCCCTCCCCGCTCTCCTCGCACGATCTCATGCCCACTGGCCCACCGGCCGGCTCGCCCGCATCGTCCACATCGCCTCGCGCATCGCATGCGTTGCCCGGACCCACGCTCGACTCACCCGCATCTCCCGCTCGACGCCGCGCTCGCCTGCTCGCTCCAGCTCGAGACCACCGCCGTCCACCACCCCGACACGTCCTCCGCCTCCTCCACCTCCCCTCTACCTCCTCCGCCTCCTCCGCTGTCGCCACCACCACCACCCACACCACCACCACCACCGCTTCCTCCACCTCACGCCGCTCCTCTGAGTTGTGGCGCACCATGCCCAGCGCCGGCGGCCGAGACTGCACCGTGCAGGACCACTCCAAGCCCATATCCGCCATGAGCACCGCCCTCCTCCGCACCGCCCTCCTCCGTGCCGCCCTCCTCGACCAGGCAGCAGCTGCCCCATCTGCATCCGCATCCTCGCGCACCGGCCGGTGCTAGTGACGACATCAGGCTCGCAGTTGCCGCCTCGGACGACGCCGACTCGACGACACCGACTCGACGACACCGACTTGACGACGCCGCCTCGACCCTACCGTCTCGACGCGGCCACGCTGCCGCCTCGATGCTTCCGTCTCTATCACCACTCCCGACGACGACACCAGGTTCGCAGCCACCGCTCAGTAGGGCGCGTGAGGATTGGGAGGTGCGCGTGCGGGCTGCCGAGGAGGGGTTTGACGGCGCCGTCACGAAGGTGGATGCCGGGCTCGCGACGCTGCAGCAACACCAACTCAAGGTGAATGGGAACGCGCGCCACGGTGTCAGGCTCGTCACACCCCCCAGTCCACGCAACATCTCGTCTGACTCGGGCGAGCGCCATCGGTGGAAACGATCGACAATCTCCCGAGGCCGATCGCGTTCGCACTCGGCCGAGTCAAACAAGGATGACGGTGGGTACGCGAGCTCATTCGAGGGCGTGACACTGCTCGATGACAAGCGCCAGTCAGCTTCCAAAGCACGCACGCGCGTGCCCTGGGCGCAGGATGATTCGGATTCGGACGTGCGTCATGCAAGCAACGATGCAAGGATCATGTCCTTGAAGCACTATCCCATCACCTCAGAGTTGGTCCAGAAGGCATCGACAGGGTTCACGATGGCAATGACGACGGAAGATGACGCCGCACACGCCTCGTCTGCCGCCGCCGCCAATCTGAAGGGCGCACACCTGGCGCCAGTGAGCTTTGTTCTCTGCATTTTCGTGCGTTCGCTCACAGCACTGTGTCGACAGATGGTTCAACATTCATGCCGTCGAGTTCACCTATCGTCTTGGACAGTCGACCCGCGAGGGCAGGTGAAACCTGGTGCAACTTGTCCGTCGACGGCCGAAGCCGTAGCGTCTGCTGCCAAACGACGGACCGGCCATGCTCCAGCAGCTCTATCGCATGCTCCAGCTCCCCCTCTCGAATCGCGTGTGCAGCCGCGCGGGAGCTTTCGATCGGGCTCTTCGCGAGAATGTCATGTCGCGCCTGCACAGACCGCCCTATATTCACCGTGCGAAGCTGTTGCTGCAGGCGCGCGTCGAACACCGACATCCGAGGCATGACGGTGTTTCGTGGCGACGGCCTCCCATATCCTAGTGTACCGCAGACAGTGTCCGCTCGGAGCAGTCGTCGAGGTCGCTGCCTGGGCGTACATGTGCAGGCACTCATCCAGGTCATTCACGTCTCCTCGCGATTCATACCTCGCGTATACGACATCGCCCCAGGCCACCATCACGCCCGCCAACCCCGGGTGCATCTCCGGGGTCAGCGAAACTGCGAGCTCGGCCCACACCGCCGCCTCGTCGAGCGCGTCCGCGTTGGCTTCTTTTTTCGCGACCTCTAGCAGACACGCGGCAAGACCTGCAGCCCAGAAGGGGTATCGTGGGTACCGTGTGTCCGTCTGCGCTTCCAACGCGTCTCGACAAAGGCAGATGGCTTCGACGAGATTATCCTCGCCCTCCTCAAGCTGGTACCGTCTCTTCAATGCATCTCCAAGTCTGAAGAGCGCCTCCGCTCTGTCCGGATGCGTCTCGTGCCTTTCTTCTGCTACTGCTCTAAAGAGCGCAATCGCCGCACTCAAGTCCTCCACCTTGCCCCCGTCCTCCCACATCACCAAAGTGCACATCCCTTTGGCTGCCACGGAGTCCATCATGTTCTGGTCTTCGCCTTCGGAGGCCTCGTGGGTCGCCACACATGCAAGTGTCCATGCTGCCTTTGAATCCTCCTCATTCTCATGTATGACGAAGCACTATCGGAGAATCGTGCCCTGCAGTGCCAGGATCACAGCCAGCAGCAGATGGTCCTCACCACAGAGCCTCACAGTGTCACGGCCGACGCCCGCCGCCTTGTCCAGCACCTCGCCGTCCCCGGTAGCGTCATGATATGCGACGAGCGCCTTGGAGAGCCGCCAAAAGACGATCATTTGGATTATCGGGTCATGGATTCCGCTCTCTGCCAGAAACGCACGACAGGCTTCGATGGATAGCCGCATGTCTTCCTGCTGTCCTAGACGCCGGAAGCGGGCCTCCAGCGACATGCTCAGCGGATTGTAAAAGGCAAATCGCTCGGGGCCCGTGACACCTACAAGACATATCTTAAGCGCGCTCACCGACTGTTCGAGGTCCGACTAAGCACCAAAGTGTGTGTAGCGCATATATGAAGCGTGACTGAACGCTGAAAGCGCCCGTCTCAGCGGTTCCGAGACAGGTGTAGATAGTTCAGGTCCGTCTCGGAACCCGCGGAGCGCCTCTCAACAAAGCCCAACCGCTTGGTCCAGTACATCTAGCCTATTCGTCGCAACTAGCGCCAATGCATGTGCAACGCACGCATGCGCCCTCTCTTGGCTTCCATGCTCCATTGTAGCGATGTCTCCAAGCGCGAGCGCCTCGCGTCTGAACGCGCGCGCGTAGTCTTCCGTCTTGTCGGCAGGGTTACTGAGCATACGATGCTCGGCATGGAAAGGGTTTACCCAGAGAAGCTGTGGGAGGGCGTGCCGCATCAGCTGGGCGGTAGCATCGAAGGCGAGGGCTGCGGAGTAGAGACTAGAGGTTCGGGACTTATCATGAGGGTGGTCGAATGGGTGTGGTAGTTTTTTACGCGTGAGCTCGGTAAGCTTCCGCACGGTATGCCAGGAGCCGTGACGCTTCTTGTGAGGCATCTTCCGTTCCGATCGTTCTACATTGGCGTACAAGCTCGTTCAGAACCTTCAATCGGCTACTCACTCCGAAACCTAAGCTTGTCAGCCTCTCAGCCTCCTTGAGCGCCTCGATACGGTCCCTCGCAGATGAACCCCGCTCCCTCATCGCGGTCTCGAACGTCATCAGTCGTTCAGGGCAGTCCACGTGCGTGGTTGGGGTAAGAGTGGTGATCCTGCAATGTAGCTTTAGCCACGTGTCGATGTCGGGCAAGGAGGAGCCCGTCTCGTTCAGATGGGTCTCCATCGTGCTCAGCACCGCACAGTCCAACCCTGCCTCGCGCTGCCTCATTTCCTCTGCGAGCTGCTTTGCCTCCTGGAGGTGCTCCAGTCGCGAGCTGCGGCCATACATCATCAATAGAACATTCGCAAGGGAGGTGATAAGGTGTTTGTCGGCATGGGAAAGTACGAGCGCCTGTCGCATCAAAGATGCACGCTCCTCCAATGCCAACGTGAGATACCAAAGGTCCGAACACTGACACAGGGCCTCGAGGGCACGAAGGAGGTCAGCAAGGTCTTCTCCCTCGCGAATGTAATGTCGTGTGTGAAGAACATCACGATAGACGGAGATCTTCTCCAAGATGCTGAGTGAAGGAGGAGAGGCGCAAAGGAAGCCCAAAAGCTTCGCCGCGGCGAGGCGGTGGTTGAGTGAGAGGGCTGGTGAACAGTAGAAGATCTCGCGCGTGAGCGCTGTGAATATTTCTTGTCTGCTCTTCGCGATAGCTGACATCGACTTGCCAAGGCCGCTGTCTTGGCCTCTTTGCTCCTCCAGCACTTCCAATGTGCGCCAGATCTCTCTATGACATTCTCTGTGCACTCTCAAGTCCGTCAAAGCATCGTTGCGATGGCTGGACACTCATGAAAATATATCCGTGCTCTCCAAATTCGATACGAGCTTCTGTTTGAGTTGGATGACAGCGTCGCAAGGACCGATAGATCGATTCTATGCATCGTGAGGTTGTCAAAAGAATAGGCAGTATGTTCTAAACATACTCACTGGGGGTGCCATTTTGATGTCCTTGTCTTGTCCGCTGTGGTCATTCGGCATGATCTGGTCCGCTGTGAACAGTGCGTTATGCTCTGGCGGCCACATGACTCCCTTCCTATGAGCTACCGACTTACCTCTCTCATTGTCAGATCTCTCAATAATGTCTGCTCCCATTGTGCGCAGCTCCTCCTCCTCGCGGCGCTGCTGAGTTTGAGTCACTGCAAAGGGCATCTGTAGAATTACCTGTGGCATCTAAAGTGAATCGAAAGTCAGCTATCGGTAAAAGGTTGTGCATACCTGTGCGCGGAAACTGCGTCCATTGTCGTCGGGCTCGTCGTCCATAGTCCTGTAGCCGCCAAGCTAGTTAGTTTATGAGTTTACTATCCCACTCGATGTGGAATGTCCTCTCGGTCAATGAGGAGCGACTGGTTGTAGGGCGTTGGGGGGAAGATATTAACCATTGATGAGCGCCCATCGTTGGCTAGAGACACGATCAAGCTGTACAGAAAGCACAGTCATTGTATAGCTACGGCACTTCTTATCGTACCGCTCGAGATGACGAGAAACCGGTGGAGCGGGGGGAACTTGTGAGGCTGCAAGAGGTGGAAATTATCAGCGAGTGCCCTGCGTGAGGGGAGTCACGTGACGTCACTTGGTCGATGCGAGTCTTTGCGCTGTCTTTGCCGCCTTTGCTTCTCACACGCTCATCGTCCTCCATGGCAGAGGAGTTATCGGCCAGGTAGAAGGCATAAACGGTGGTTTGGAGAGCATGCGGAGCACTCACCTTGATCAGAACACGGACCATATCTTTCGAAGCAGCCCAACTGACGCCCAGTTCCTGTCCTATCCATGACTCGTCGACACTCCATCTGCGGGCGCTCACTTTGCTGTTCGCCGAGGCCACCCACGTCGACGACTGGACCATGCGGCACAAGAAGACACATGGCGCACTGCATCTGGATGAGTGCGGGATTGGGCTCGACGGTGTGACGAGCGGTCCGCGTGTGGGCATAGAGATGGGATCGACCCGAGCACAGAGACGGGGATGCTGGTTGATACATGGTGAGTTGGACAGGGTGCCGGAGGCCACGCAGAGGAAGTGTGTACTAGCCGGACAGAGGATACCACAATCGTCTGTATGTGTGTGTGTCCTTGCCGGTCCCACGGCCTTGCCCATAGCCCTCGCATCACGTTCAGCTGTTCTTTGCCCTCTGCAACCATGCACTTATTATCTTCTCTGCACAACCTCTTCTCCAGTGCATTCCCCTTCCGCTTCCTCTGGCGTTCAAACATGTCTTTCCCTAACGACCCTGCCTACTTCCCCGATTGCCCACAAGGTATCAAGCGTCACGTGCTCAACTGGGCGCAGCTCGTCTCTGCAGATACCATTCCCTACTACCGCCCGTACATCGCCAAAATTAAGCACTGTAAGCGGGAGCGCGGTGTCTGGCACGAATTCCTTATCATCGAGTTTATCTACCCCATTTCAGCCAGTGCCACCCGCATCGTTCCCGTCATCGTTGAGCGTACAATCGAGACCGGCCAGATCCCCCATGAGATGATCCGGCCAGGGGTCGACCTTTCCGCTCAGACTGGCCAAATGAATGTTAGGTCCGAGCCCGCCTGGTTCCACAGCTCGTCCTACACCTCGGTCGACTCGTCCATGACCTCTTCTACCTACGCCAACATCGCATCCTCCTCGATACCCCCTATGGGGGCGCACGCGCTCGACTACATCCACGTCCCGCAAAATGGCGCGTCTATCGGCAGCATTGACGAAGGAGTAGACAGCCCGTACCAGGTCTGCCGCGAGCTCACGTTCACCTCGCGCGTGACGGATTATAACCTTGCCGCCCTGCTGGTTGCGGTGTATGAGCACTCGCCTATTTACAACGTTGTCTCGCGACAATGTTACTGGTATGCGGCCGTCATCTACGACGTCTTCTGCGCCCGCCTCGGTGGCAGATCAGTTGATCACGCACTCCGTGGCCCTCTCCGTGCCGGGCGCTTCCTCACAATTTTCACCATCCAGCCCAAAGACCCACCACTGGACTACATTCTGCCACGTTACAATCACCATTTCACGAAAGTTGTGGAAAAGGCGAGGACTGATCCGAATAATGCGAGGTTACAGGCAGCGGAAGCACGGGCGAGGGAGGAGGCAGCGGCGAGGGCACAGGCCGACGCGAGGGCAAGGGAGGAGGCAGCGGCGAGGGCACAGGCCGACGCGAGGGCAAGGGAGGAGGCAGCGGCGAGGGCACAGGCCGACGCGAGGGCAAGGAGGTTAGAGGATGAGATTGCCTTCCTCCGACAGCAGCTGGCGGCGCAGGGCTATGCTGGCCCATCCAATAGGGCAGTGTAGACTTTGTTTTGTTTCCTATATCTGTTCCGCGTCTGTTTTGGTTTGAGTGCTTTCGATGCTTTCGGTGCTTTCAGTACATGTACCCGTTCTGTACGCATAGTCTTTCTCTCATAACATGCGATGTTTTCCGCGGTCCCACATCACCAGCGATCAATTGGATGGACCTCTTCCGCCTTCAACACCACGACTGCTCGTTCTCTTTCCGCCTGCACCTTCTCGTCCTCGTCAATGGACATCCCACTCCCACACCCACCATCCATGGTCTCCGCGGCGGCGGCATCTGCTCCGACAACAATCCCGCGCCCACACTGCCCGTCAACACGCAGAGCATCGCAGCTGTTTGAGTGTCAACAAGGAAGATGAGACCTAGCTGGTGGCAGAGGACGAGGAACGAGTGTGGTGGAGAGACGAGCTGAGAGGAGAGTGGGCACGGACTCGAGGACGAGGCCATCGACGAGGGATAGAGGTAGGTTGTTGTCTCTCACTCCAGTCCACACACGTACTTCTCGTATTTGACCTGTCTGCCCTACCCTTCTAATTCTACGACCCCTCGCCCACGCCCTGTCCGTGCCAACGTCGACATCCTCTGCTAGCCTGCAAGCCTGAGATTTTCCGACAGGCCATCGTCCACGTCCTCTTCTTCCTACGGGACGATCGGTCGCAAAACCAGCACTTCGAACCTTTCATTGTGAGTTACCTTTTGTTCCTTTTACATCTCGATACCCGTTTCCTTCGCGCTCTCCCTCCCTCGCACTCTCAGTGATGCAAGCGGACGAGTGATGCAAGCGGACGACGGGCCTCCACCTCGGCCCTGAGAAAGCTTGCATCTTCAAAAGCCCTGTTATCTGCTGCCTTGATTTTCTATGTACTGTATTTTTTTGATTTAGCTTGCAAATTTTCCGTAAACACTCGCACTGTTGAAAACCGGCACTATGCCCGCCCGCCCGCTCGCTCGACCCCCCGAGCGTCGATTCCGCCCTCGTGCCCACACGCCGAGCTTGACGCACTCTGCGCGCACGCCCCCGCCCTCGCCTGGGACCCAAATCCGCGTGCGCGCGTCCCCTCGTTTCCTTGAGTCCACGCCCACCGCCCACCCAGTGCCCAACCGCCTAGGCCGTTGACGTGTATGCTCCCGCCGCCAAGCCTATGCGCGCACGCACGTCTCCTCGACACCACGCAAGATATCCCCTCGTTCTCCATCCCTCGTCTAGCGTCACTGGTGAGACCCCGCCGTCTCTCAACAGTCACTGTCCCTACATCGTCGCCGAACCTCCAACCCCCCGCTTCCGCTGCACTTGCGCTCCGCGCACGCGCACAGAGCATCGCGAATATCACAGCACGTCGAGAGGAGGCCGAGGAGCCGCTGACGGCGGAGAGTGAGCTAGGAAGGAGCGTTACCGAGGTCCGTACCTCCCTCTCTCATCCTTTCTTTCTGCCCCTTGCCCGCCGCCGAGTGCCCTCGACCCACTGGAATTCTTGAGCTCACGCATTTGCCCTTGCCTGCGACCCACATTTGCTTACGCGCAACTCCTCCAGCTCATGCACGCACGCCCGACTTCTAGTCCACCCCTCCGCTCACTCCTCCCTCATTCTGCATCATCGCCGACACCGCATACACGCTCGACCCCGCATCCTCATATCCTCACTTCACCTCGTCCTCTTGCTGATGTGACCTCTCGACCCTCACGCGCGCTCGACAGCGCTCACGCTCGAACTCTCGTTCGTCGACCGTCCCGTGCTCGACTGAACCTCATCGGCTCGTGGCTGAGAAAATGGAAGAGAAACGGTGGCGGCGACGGCGGCAGAGAGACGGGCTGGGAAGAGGGATGGGCACGGACGACGACGACGACGACGATGGGCGCACGCTCGATGAGCATGCCAAGCGGTACAAAGGTGCGTGCCTCTCGCCCTCATCCTTCCCGTCCACCCGTTCCTCAGCGCCCCGTTCCTCGGCGCCCCGTTCCTCGACCCTGCGCATGCACATCCCTTCCGCACGTCCCTTCCCCAGACATGCAGCCTCGGCAGCCTTTCTTCTTTCCCCTCCCTCCAACTCCGCTGACTCCTGATCGCTCTAGAACACCTCCTTGCGCAAGTCCTCCGGCTTTCAGACACAACCTCCATTCACAGCCCTTCCATCCATCCTACCTCCCGCCCGCACGTCCGATGACCGGTTGCAACCCTCTCGCCTCCTCCATGAGCGCGCTCGCTATCAGTCCCGCTCCACCTTCCCTCACCTAGGCCCAAAGCTCCCAGAACGGCAGCCTGCTCTCGTTAACCGCGTCCCTCTCTGCCGTCGCCTCGCCTGCCGCTGCTCTCCCCACAATCCAGACCTCCGCTGGCCGGCCGCCTCCGAGCTCGCATGAGCCCACGATGCCCTCTCCCTCGTCGATCGCCTCGACATCTCGTTGCGCTCTCTCTCCATTGCCTCGGAGCCCCCGCTCCCGAGTCCCGTCAACATTGCAGATCAGAGCCTCGTCCACCCCGCACACGTCGCCATCCAGCTCATCGTCTAGCTTGCCAATCGCCAGCTCCCGCACACCCCGCCCTCTCTCTACGTCACAGAGGCCAACTGCCGCCGCGCCAACCTTGCCGCATCCGGGTCCTCCCCCAGTTTCCTCCCCGCTCCGCCTCCTACGACTGCGAGCACACATTCCGCGCAGGCTACGGCTACGAGACCTTCGGCGATGCTGCCCGCGTCAACGACTGCTTCGAGTGCGGACTCAAGCATGGTGACGAGAACTTCCTCTATGTGCGTACTTGTCTCTGCGGCTTCGTCCAACCTCGACCCTCCTCTCCTCCGCAGCGCATGGGCATGGCCGACGCATGGGCCATCTGTCTCCTTGCTATTCCCCTCCAGTGTGCCGCAACCGCAGCGACTATCGATATCACCCACCCCGCATCCGTGTATGGCCCCCGCACCTGTTCACGCTCTTGATCCCCGCGGGCGATGCCTATGAGGGCGAGGCCTACCGCTGCCTCGAACGCGCCGCCTACTTCAACTTCGCGCCTACACTGTACAAGCTCGGCCACACATAGGAGCTTGTCCAGCCACCGTTTCCGTTTGATCTTGTCGTCCTCAACGGCACCTAGCTCGCACGGCTTATGTGGGTCTGGTTCGCCCTCCTGGGGCAACGCGAGCTTTGCGTTAGTATACCCTGAGCCCGAGACGAGCCGGAGCGGGAGGTTACGGGTGGGTATAGGTTACAAGGGTTCTACGTCTCCTGGTAACTGTAGGTGCCGCTCATGTCCTCGGGCACATCCAGCTCGCTCATGCCTCTGCTGCACCCGCTATGTCAAATGTGTACTCATGTTCTCTGTTCTTTTTCTAAGGGTTGGCGGAGGTTGTTCCCAACCTCGCTTCGACTGACGATTTTCTCCTCCCCGTTTGCATCTATACCCGCCCTCCTCCACCGTTGCCATCCCTCTACGCACCGTCGCAAAACGAGCTCGCCTCGTTCATGTCGAGCCATATACCGGAGTACTCGACGCCCGCCGCGCTCCAGTTACGCAGCGCATCGGCCCACCACGCCTCTGTGCCGTTTGCGAACCAGTCCGGGAAGACCTACGCGTGCGAAGAGGGGTCAGATGAAGCAAGCAGCCCTGATGGTCAGTATGCAGTGAGGGCGGGGGCCTTAAGGATCACGCACAGTGTACCCCGGCCAGACTTGTCCGATGTATATTGACCCGTCTGGGTTCTTAATGAACACGTCCCTAAGCACACCTCGCATCAGCCCCGCACACACACATACGTACGACAGAACGACACGCACTGCTCAACTCCTCGTGTGTACGGGTCGTACTGCACGAACATGCGGGCGACACGTTGGTATCAGTGATAAGAGAAGTGCAAAGGGGAAAACGCACGACATCAGTGGCATTCGCGACGTGTCCGATAGCAGCGTCTACGATCGGGATATCTGCAGGGTCGGCATTGGCATCATGAGTGCACGGTGCATGATGGAAAAGAGACAAGGACAGAGGCATTGTACGCACAGTGCTGTCCGTTCGCAGCCTATGGGTGGTTGAGGACAGACAAGCAAACGTGCACACAAGTCCATTGATCAGTACCAGAACAAGGTCAAGCTGCAGGACGTACCAACTCGCGCGTGAACGCACGCATCTCCTCCGGGGGATAGCTTATAGGGTCAGATATGAAATCGCGCAGCGAATGGTAGAGATCTATATCGTTCCACATAACTGTGCGCCCCCAATAAACCGACCTATCACGAGCACAAGACACCACAAACGCACCTTCGAGAGGCACCCCCGCCCCGCGCATCGCGCTTACCTGCTCTCGCTCCTAGTAGTATTACCGACACTTTTGAGTCCACCGATATCCGAAACTACTGTGTTGCCAATTCTAACCTGAAAAGCTAGTAGTATTACCGGCACTTTTGAGTCCACCGATATCCGAAACTACTGTGTTGCCAATTAAATGCAAATATAAATATCAAAAAATCCCTTCTGTAATCTTCATACCCTGCTTCAACTTTGAGGCCCAGAAGCAGTGAAATTGAATCAGGGGCTCAATAGATATGGATTTAAACAGTCTACCCCCTAAAAGCAGACTGTGTGAAGCACAGTCTGGGTTTTGGGAACCAAATCCGAAGTTGCACACAATTCTGTCTGATTCAATAGGCTTAAAATGTATTTGTCATGGTACCCTAATATTTTCATTAGTAGACATGGAGTACTGAAGATGGTACAGGCAAAATACAGAATTGAGGGAAAAGCTCAAAAAACCGAGTCTCCAGTCCACAATTGTCCTTGGATTTCCATTGCCAAACTAATAAAATGCTCCTACATACACTACCTTTCAAATCATCCCCTAATTTTATCATTTGGATAAGGGGATCGAGAGATATGTAATTGTTTGTGATGTTGAGGGTATTCTGCAACCGGGAGACACAGTTTAGTCAGCATCGGGAAAGGGCGGCACACAGTCGGGAGATTGCGGACCCACAGTCGTCACACTGTTGTCACACTGTGCACAGTCTCTCTGTTGCGCCACACAGTCCGGCCGAGACCGCACACAGTCCGGATTTTGGCGCTGGTTCAGCGCCACACAGTCCGGATTCTCGGTGACAGTCCGAGATTTGGCGGTGAATCTGCGCCACACAGTCCGGCCGTGCCGCACACAGTCTGTTGATTGTCGCGCCACACAGTCCGACTGTGTCGGCACACAGTGCCCTCCAACATCTCATGAGAAGGACGAGCGTCATGAAGGTACGTTGTCGTCTCTCCTTGCGCCAGTCTTCCCCTGCACACCTGTCCCTCCGCTCGACCCACGCATGGTCGTCCTTTCGACTCCATATACGCCTGCCACCCAAGACCCCCACCCTCGACCCCTCGACCCCTTCCACTGTCGACCTTATCGATCCTCCTGTCCTTGCACATTCATTCCTTCCCCTCCTCACATATATTTCACATTTTCAGTCATTCTGCCCGCCCTCTCTCGTTCTGCGTTATTATAGAGACCCCATGCGCACTCGACCTCTCGCCTATTTGCCTGCTCGAAGTGCTCTGATGCTACGCCCTCGTTTTGTCGTCCCCGCCGGCTCCCCTCTCGCTCCCCAGATCAATTCCCACGCTCATGCCAAAGGAATTGCGATATCCGCAGGGAAGCGAGCGCATTCCAGTCCGTGTGCGCCGCGCCGCACTCTGCCTCAAGCGGAAGCTGCAAAGACGCGGTGCGCATCGCGTTCCAGAAGGTATGCGCGCGCACCACCCTCTCCCCCACACCCACCCTGCACTTCTTCGTGCGGTCCTGCAAGCTCAGCTGTACAGCGTCATATAGACTCATCTTCCAGCCCCTCCATCTCTCCCCACGTCTCTACCCCTCCCACTGCCCTTGCCTGTACGCGTCGGTGATGCTTGGCATCAAACAATCCACAGCGGACGAGTTGCGCAAGATACACGGCCCGCGCACGCCTCGATGTTGAGGGTTCCGCAGTGGACAAGTCTAGCAAAGTGCAAAAACGGCCGTGTGTAGTCTGCGGCAGCCTGGCTCGCCACCAAGCCCAAATTCGCCGAAGGTTAATTTGGGCTTGGTGGCGAGCCAGGCTGCCGCAGACTACACACCTGCCCTTAGCACGTTCTGCAACATCACAAATGACTCCGAGCATGCATAGGGAAAACAGAACGCAAGTGAGTGCTGGACATGTTCGAGCGCCACGAGAAGTACATCCCGCACATGCACACAGCACACCTTGTCTATCAGGAACGTCACCGCACTGCGACGCAGCGTCAAGTGGGAGCAGCTAGGCTGGCCTGAGGTAGATTGGTCGCTGAAGAAGTGAGGGATCGTTATTGTTTGCACAGTGAGTCTTCATTATGTTGACATTGAGTCTGAGTATGGGTGGGACATGGCGACACGCTCCAACCGCCTTCTGTAGCACCCTGACACACACGCCATGAGAGGATCTGACATACTCTCCCACTCGTACTATCAGCAACTGATTTCACATGCTTTGTGTGCACATATACGCGCTCCCACTCTTAGCTATTTTTCAAGTACCCCTTCTACCTGTAGTTAGATTTTTTTTCTCTCTCTCTGTATGTATATCACGACCCTGCAAACCATCTCTTCCTCTCCTAAAAAAGAGGCTATGTCTTTACACCATGGCCCCATTCACCCACACGACGTGTGGGCGAAAGTTGTGGAGAGAGTGTCGATCTGCGCTGACCTGCGCTGACCGCCAGCTCTCGACTCGACCAGATCCAGCTTCCAATTGCACGGAGGTTCTCACAGACAACATGTCTCCCCGCTGCCCACGCAACAATGGATTGCGAAACCGGGACAAGCATCAATCTGACTAGTCTTGTGAGTACATTTCTAACCTACTCTTCGATGCCCTCTCTTCCACACACTCAACTTTGCGAACGGGACGATGGGCCTCCGCCGATGCCCTGAGAAAGCAAGCATCGCCGAAGGCGTGTACTGACGTTTATTTTTATTTTTATTTACTTTTGCTGTCTGCAGATCCGTCCCATCCCTGCCTCGTCCTCTAACCTCGTCCACACCTACGCCCACGCTCGCCACCATCTCTTTTCCCGGTGCCACCCACGATCACCGTCGCTGAGGCGTCCTGCCCCACCGACGCCCACACGCTCACGCTGCCCGATGACGGGCCAAGCATCGCGACCGTCCGAGCGTCAACGACCGCGATGTCGACGACAACAACGACCACAATGAGGAAGGTCGGTGGCGGAAAGACACGCTGGGGGGAGAGAAGGGACGTGCGACGAGGATATTCACGAGGTATACTGCCTCTCTTCGCGCCAGCCTCCCTGCACACGCGTCCCTGCTCCTGCACGTCCCACGCCCCTGCACTCCTGTCCTCGACCGCCGACACCGCGCGCGTGGACCTCTCCTGCGGCCGCGCTTGCGAAAAGTGGCTCGCGTGCGGGAACTACGTCTGTGTGGAGTCGTGCCATCCCGGCGCGTGTCCGAGGCAGTGCAGTGCTAGTGCAGGAAAGTGGAGAAGCAGCTTGCATACAGGGAGGGAGAGAAGAAGGCGTGCGCCGTGGTGCATAGAGACGGCGAGGAGGAGGAGGAGGAGCAGTGGGTCGGGTCGTTTGATTGCGGGAATTCGTGCGATCGGTACGTTCTTCCTCGAATCTTCCTCCATACCCCCAATGAATTTCTCCCGTCTAACCGCCTCAGCCACCGCCTCCAACTGAGCTGCTCACTAGTGAGAACTCGGCGCCAACTCCTGCCATAGTTATCGAGCTGCAGTTTCGACTGCAGGACATTCAAGTCTCTCTTGCCTGCTTCATCGATAAGATCCGCGCCATGGAGGGTATGCTCTCTGAGCACAAAGCCATCAAGCGTGAAGTTAGCACCCTCCGCGAGCTGATAAAGGAAAAATGCGAATTAGACAGCGTACGCGGCAGACAATGCTCAGGGACGCTGCGTGCCAAGGACCACGACGACAGCGAGTACGGCGGCGACGACGATGACGCGCAGAGTATCGCAACCGTCATGCCCCACGAGCTGGAGTGCGTCGAGGAGGAGGACGAGGAGCAGCTGGCGGCGGAGGAAGAAGAAGAGGAGCGGCGGCGGCGGCGGCGGCGGCGGAGAGATGAGCTAGGTCGACCGATAACACCGGAGCCTACAGGGATGGGCATGGACATCCATGGCAGATCCAAAATGCACCTTGACGTGCTCAACATGCACTCACGATCGCCGCCGCCCCCTCTACGAGAGCCTTTTGCTCTTCAGCCTTCGACGTCTTCCGTGTTCGAGGAGCGCATCGATGCCCTCACCTCTCACCTCGAATCTGCGCTCGAGCTCTCACGCACGCTCCAAGCCCAGCAGGCTGCTGCGCAGAGTACCACCTCCATGCTTGAGCCCAAGGTCTCCTTGCTCGAGTCACTCGTCCAGGCGTCGCAGACCGATATACAGTCGCATGTCACTGAGGTGAGTCAAGAGCGCGCCTCGCTCACCTCACTCATCGCTGAGTGGAAGAAGGGTGTCGAGGGCTAGTGGAGCGGCGTCCGTGAGGAATGGGCTGAGGAGCGCATGCGGATCAATCAGGCGCGTGAGGTTTGGGAGGCGCGCGTGCGGGCTGCTGAGGAGGGGTTTGACGGCGCCGTCGCGAAGGTGGATGCCGGGCTCGCGACGCTGCAGCAACACCGACTCAAGGCGAACGTGAACGAGCGCAACGGTGTCAGGCTCGTCACACCCCCCAGTCCACGCAACATCTCGTCTGACTCGGGCAAGCGCCATCGGCGGAAACGATCGACAATCTCCCGAGGCCGATCGCGTTCGCACTCGGCCGAGTCGAACAAGGACGACGGTGGGTACGCGAGCTCATTCGAGGGCGTGACACTGCTCGATGACAAGCGCCAGTCAGCTTCCAAAGCACGCACGCGAGTGCCCTGGGCGCAGGATGATTCGGATTCGGACGTGCGTCATGCAAGCGACGATGCGAGGATCATGTCCTTGAAGCACTATGCCATCACCTCAGAGTCGTCGGTCCAGAAGGCATCGACAGGGTCCACGACGACGATGACGACGGAGGATGACGCTGCACATGCCTCGTCTGCCGCCGCCGCCGATCTGAAGGGCGCACACCTGGCGCCAGTGAGCTTTGTTCTCTGCGTTTTCGTGCATTCGCTCACGGCACTGTGTCGACAGATGGTTCAACATTCAGCACAGATGTCGACGACGGTGGGCGTGCCATGCTCAGCGTCGCCGCCTTGGCGGTGCTATGGCGTATCAAAGGATAATAGTTGCCGGGCAAATCTCACGGTCCTTTTATGATGGTTCAATCCCTGCGCACGTCTGGCTCAGTGGCGATCCTGTCCCTCCTTTTTCCGCCCTCATGCTCCTCACTGCTGCACCGCCTGTTCTGTTTCTGTGTGCGTCTCATCTGCCTTCTCGCCCATATTTGTTTGTTAGCGAGTAGCTTAGTCTGCACATCATGCAGCCTGCTGCCCTCCTGGCGTCTCTTGCCTCTTCTCGTCGCATGTCGTTTCCTTCGTCGATCCCACGCACGGCCATTGCTACGATCCCATGCAACATAATCACTTCGTCGTGCCCTTGTTCACCCTTCCTCGTCCTGCTGAGACCCCGCCGTCCCTACACAGTCGCCATGTCTCCACGCGCCCCCGCTCCTGCCTCACTTGTGCTCTACGTCTATGTACGAAGCATCGTAAATATCATGCCACACGCACTTCAGTGCATCGACGAGGAAGGTGATTAGGAGCTAGCAGCAAAGAGATGAGCTAGGAAGAGGGAGGCCGAGCATTACCAAGGTCTGTACCTCCCACTCTCAGCCTTCTCACCCGCCCGTTGTTTGTGTCCCCGAGACCCCCTCAATCTCTTCGATGCCAAGCCCGCTCACTCACTCGGCCCCCTCCATAGTCCATATCGCCCTCGTGCTCATGCGTGCACGCGCGATTCCTCAACGCCACGCACCCGTCTTTGCTCGCGACCCATATCCGCGCCCGTGCGTCTCCTCAAGCCCACCACCCACCATCCTAGCATATCCTCCGCCTCCTCCACCTTCGTCAACACCTCTGCCTCCGATGCCTCGTCCACCGTCACCACCATCACCACCCACATCACCACCACCACCACCACCTCCTCCTCCACCTCCTCACGCCGCTCCTCCGAGTCCTTGCGCACCATGCCCAGCGCCAACCGCCGCGACCGCGACCGGACCTCGCAGGACTGCTCCAAGTCGATGTCCGCGGCGAGCACCGCTCACATACGCGCCGCCCTCCTCGACCAGGCCGCCGCTGCCGCATCCGCATCCGCATCCGCATCCTCGCGCACTGGCCGGCCTTGCCTTCCCCCGGCGTCACGCCCCCCTCCACCCTTGGCTGCTGTATGAGCGGTATAGGACGGGGAGCTTCTCGCACGACGTGCGACGCAGAAGATCGGCAAGGAGGAGACGCGGCGGCTGACGCGCCCCCATCGTCTACCCTGCACTCCTCTCCCGCGTCGCTGAGGCCTTCCGCGTGCGCGTTCTTGAGCGGCGACATGCCTTGCCTTTGCGCGCGCGCTCAACGTCACTCACAGTCTCGCCCAGGCCACCTCGGCTCTCCAACCACGCAACCCAGGTGCACATCTAGCGCGCTCAGAGCCTTCTGCACGCCTCAGTCCCCATGCGCACCGCACCTGAGAGCATACCTGTGCGCACGCCCCCCGTCCGCGACGGGCTCCTCCGCGCACAAAATCGCCGCCCACGCGACCAACGTCGGCGCCAAAATGCGCGCACCCGCATTCTCCGCGCTCGCGACGACCCTGCCGGATCGCAGGGCTCCATCCTTTCCCTCGAAATGATCGGCGGCGGCTTTTACGAAGCGTGCGTCTCCTTTGCCCGTTTTCCCCTTGCCCGTCTTTCTTTCTTTCCATTCCATCTCTCTCTCGTCCCCTCTCGTCGTCCCTTCGCGTACATTTGGTGTAACATCCATCCGTCGCTTGCACGAATGCACGACTCCATGCAACCCCGATCGTGTCCACAACCGGCGAGATTCGCGTCTCTGCGTGCCAGTCCATTCCTCGGGTTTAATCTCGCGTCGCTACCCTCTTCCGTGGATGCGTGCATCCAAATCATTCTGCCTGATTGCCTCGAAGCCTAGTTTGCAATTGAGCTCTCGCCTCCCAGCATCCGTCGCGGCACGCAACGCCCCCCTCATCCTTCATGAGGTCCGCTGGTATGGCTGCTCAATCTCGACGCGCCCGGGCCGTCTTACCTCTTTCAGCGTCGTCTTACCTCTTTCGTCTTCTTTGTTTTTTTATCATCATCACTACGCTCAACGCTATCATATCCGCCACTGACACGTTCTTGAGAAATCCATTGCAAACATCTGTAGAACCAGCATCGCTTACTGGATACCTGAGCGTTAACGAAGGGCGCGAAGAATGTGAGCGAGTCGTTCATAGCCGTTCCACTATTCTCGGCACGAAGCGTCTCGAACCCAATCGACGCGTCCAAACCGCCCACGCCAGTACCTACGTCTGCAGTAACAAAGTCATCTGCATGCATTAAGGTGGAACAGCTGTCAGCGACTGGCTCTGCCTGGCACCAAAACTCAGAGCTAAACACGTACGAAAGGCCACTCGAATCCATTGCGCCGCTGTCTCCCGTCCCAGAAGCTGACTCCCTTCCACGTAGTTCGTGCATGGTGTGATTGCGCGCTTGAAACCACCGTCATTGGCACCGCCTGTGTCGACGAGGAGGTGTTCGAGCTCGTTTGATACTAGGATTGGATTCGGCGCAAAGGCAAAGGAAGAAAATATGAGATTCTGCGGTAAAAGCAACAGAAACAATGGGGAAATGTGGGCGCGCATTCTGGGAGTCAAAGACGGCCGGAGTCGAGGATACTCACAAATCGCAAAACCAATAGTCTCGGTAGCTTAATTAATACGGCGATAGTTGTGTCTCAGTCGGTCCAAGAAGCACGCTGACTTCTAATAGTCAGGTGCCAGATAGTTGCTAGATCCACCATCAAGCCGTCGAACGCCGAGGCACGAGGCACCAATGTTCTCTCTTTTATTGACCGAGCCACTTTACGAGCCTACATCTGCCTACATACCAGCGAGCTCTACTGGTTCCCCTGATATTGATTCGCTATGTGCACAACGCGCCGGCTCCAGTGGCAAGTTTGCAAGTGACCAGCAGCGGGATATCTAGGATGTATGAGGACACGCGGTTTCACAATACGTCCCGTGGACAGATAACCTCTACATGCTCGTGAGGCTTCGGGCTTCGATCAGATTGATCAATATACTCAAGCGCCCGACATTGAAAGTGAGCCCAAAATGAGACTCACGGCTCACCGATATCAGAGCCGTCCTCGGAGGAATTGTGGGGGTGAACATATGGATGATAATCGACAGTTGTCACAGGAACATCCAAAACGCACATACCGACATTATAAGGGACGAGTCTCCGCGATTAATAAATGCCAGGTACAAGCTTATATCTGACTTTCCTACTCCAAGCCACCCACTCCGCGCCGAACTTTTCCTTTAACATCTTATCCTCCTGACTCGTCCTCCAAAGCATGACAAGCGTGACGTGGATGTTCCACATCAGATAAAATAAGCAGAACGCTTTTCCCCGCCAGGTCTCGAGCCATCCGCACTCTCTGATCCACGACCCCTCGCTGAGTGCGCATAAGACAGATCCCGTGAATCCCAAGATGCTCCCAGTGTAGCTTGGGTGGCGAACCCAAGCGTACGGGCCGCTCGTCACGAGCGTGTGTTTGGGTCGTATGGTGATTTGGAATGTGAAGAGACGGCCGAGTGCCCGATAGCACAAGGTGCGAATGATTGCTGAGATGACAAGAAAGGTGATGCTGACCAGGAACGATGGAGAAATTCGGATGGCTGTCGATCCAATTGACTCTTTCGAAATATAAGAGAATAAAAGCCGTGCGATGGGATTAGGGTGCTCGGAGTAGCTGGCACATATGGCCAGTGCTTCGCAGAGGGATACGGCCCACATCAAACCCTGTAATCCACGGTGAGAGGGACAGTGTAGTATAAGGGGAGAGGGTCTCTACCTTGGTCACACCTGGGCCCCAAGAAAAATACGAACTTGGCCATAAATCTTTGTGCTTCGACAATTCTCCCGAGGGTGGTGCAGCGTTAGGAGGGGTAACGCTACGATGGACACAAAGGGAACCGATAAGTAACAGGGGGAGCTTGATCAAAGACATCGTTACTCTGTTCAACGTAGCTCCCATGGACACAGAGCCGCAGCAGCCGCGAAGGGGGCCTATATATATTTCTCACGAGGGCGGCGAATCCATCCATCCCTATCTATCCATCCATAATCCATAAATAGAGGGCGACACTGGAAAATTGTGGCGCTGGGCCGGCGGCTAGTAGTATTACTGACACTTTTGAGTCCACCGATATCCGAAACTACTGTGTTGCCAATTAAATGCAAATATAAATATCAAAAAATCCCTTCTGTAATCTTCATACCCTGCTTCAACTTTGAGGCCCAGAAGCAGCAAGATTGAATCAGGGGCTCAATAGATATGGATTTAAACAGTCTACCCCCTAAAAGCAGACTGTGTGAAGCACAGTCTGGGTTTTGGGAACCAAATCCGAAGTTGCACACAATTCTGTCTGATTCAATAGGCTTAAAATGTATTTGTCATGGTACCCTAATATTTTCATTAGTAGACATGGAGTACTGAAGATGGTACAGGCAAAATACAGAATTGAGGGAAAAGCTCAAAAAACCGAGTCTCCAGTCCACAATTCTTACCTGAAAAGCTAGAAGGTTCAGGGTAGGACAGGGGTATGGCAGGGCTAAAGAGGCCATTAAGAGGTGAAGAAGCCACCCATGCTAATACATGGCTGACATGACGAGCCTGTCCGCGGCTGGAGAGCCTCGTCATGTCAGCCGCGTATTGGCAGGGCTGAGTCCCGATACGTGGCTGACATGACGAGCCTCACTGCGGCTGGAGAGGCTCGTCATGTCACGGCGGGCGGGCATGTGCTAGAGGAGACGGCTGTGGGATCGATAGGACGCGTGCGGGCGGATGTGGGTCGCAGGGTCGCATGTGCACGCATCAGAGGCGGGATTGACTATCGAAGAGGTCGAGTGAGCGAGCGGGCATGGCATCAAGGAGGCCGCAGAGGTTGCGAGCAAAGGGCGGGCCAAAAGGACGAGAGCGGGTTGTACGGACCTTGATAATGCTCTGCCTTCGTCTTCCTAGCTCATCTCTCTGCTGCCTCACCCTCCTCGTCGACGCACTGAAGCGTACGTGGCATTCTCTTCGCGATGATTTGTGCGCGGGCGCTGAGCACAAGTGCGGAGAGAGCGGGGCAGCGTGGAGGGTCCAGGCGATGCACGAGCGTGGGCTGGAGGCGATAAGCGGGAGGGTACTGAGTGGCGCAGATGTGTAGCGTGGAGAGGAAGACACGCATGTGCACATGCACTCGAAGGCAGGAACGTGAATGTCAACATCAACGGCGTAGAGATTTGAGGGTACTAAGTAGGCGGCGGGCGTGGGCTCAAGGAGATGGGCGTGGGCTCGAGGGGACGAGGGAACGTACGCATGCAACTTCGGATCGCAGGCGCAGGCGGGTGCGTGCACTGAGGGGGGACGGGGGAGGGGAGGGGAGGGGCGTGGAGAGGCTCATGGCGGAACGATAGGGCGAGCAGGGATGGCGTCGAGCATGCACAGGGTCTTGGCAGTGACATGGTCTGGGACGCCTGGACGAATGACTCGAGCGAGGAAACCTTCGACTTCAGCATGGAGATGGTGCTCTGCGCGGCAGCTATCCGTCTTGCGCGTGATCACGGAGCCGCCGGCCTCGCCTGAACCTTCAATCGCGGGATAGGTGCTGTATACTAGGATGGGATATCCCCCTCCTCCAATACATATCACGGCCGTCGCGATCTTTCCTTCGCTTGTCCATCTGTCCTCGCGCATGAGAACAGGGCCCCTGTCCGACGACGCCAAATTGATGATCTACTCCTTAGTTCGCTATGCCCCTTTGTATTACCGTAGTTTCATCATTTCAGAGCAATAGACGGCGCAACGCGCGATATCATACAAGTTCACAGCGCTCAGCCGCTGCCAGCTACCATGTAACGTTTAGCAGTAGACGGACAGACAGACGGACAGACGAGAAGGACAGGGGAAAGACACAAAGTCAAGAGTAAGGAGACACTAGAGAACGAAAATGAAAAAAAAAACAGCGAAAATGCAAGAACAACAAAGAATAGAACAAAGAAAACACAGGAGCAGCGAGCGGCAGCTTGTCGGGCGTGGAGCTTGTGCGAGAGCTCGAGCAGAGATTCGAGCCAGGAAGCGATGGCATGGATACGCTCCCCGGACACGGAAGGTGTTGAAGGTTGGGCTGCTTGAAGTTAAACAGCCTGCAATTCTGACGCGTGTATACATCGTTGGTCTCCGCACTAATTCTCATGCCTGCTTGGCAACGCAAAGAAAACTGAGCCATGGCCTGGGTGCTCAGCAAATTTAGTGGAACATCAGGCGAGTTTGCTAGTGCAATTGCACATGCGCATATAGCCGCTCATCCAAAGCGTGACGTCTGCGTCGCGCTCGAGCATCCAGCTTGTCACTAGGCACTGCGTAGTCGGTTATGCGACTGGAAAAGGGCGGAGGACGGCGACGGGGGCATGATCACGGGCAGAGACAACTCGCCGTATTACTGCGAGGACGCGGACGTGCTGAGCAGCCGAAAGAACTTAGCGTTGGAGCAGTTGTTTGACAGCGGCACTGGACTTGCGAGGTGTGCAGTCAGCGGTAGGCCGACAACGAGCGTGACTTCCAGATGGACGACGAGAAGACAGATGGAGAGATGAGCATGGGCATAAAGATGGGGATAGGGATGGGAATGGCTTCCGAACTCGACGTCGAAAATGCTGCCACGCGGAGTCAACCCTGTCCGAGGTTGCATCGTGGGAGTGTCGTGCATGGCCTGGACCTCGCTGAGCTTGTTCGCGTGGTTGCTGAGCTCGCGCAGGATGTCGTTCCCCTGCTGCGCCGACGCGGGCGGAAGGTTGTCGTGGCAGACGGCGACGATGCTGGACACGATCGTGATGATCTGCGTGAGGTTCTCATTGACAGTCGGCGAGGGCATCGGTGAGGGCGTCGGCGAGCGGACGCCGGACAGCACGCTCTGGATGGTGTAGACGATTGATTCAGTCTGCGCTTCGAGAGAGGGCTGTGAAAAAGCGTGAGTGCGGGGTAAATGAACCATCAGAAGACAAGTATTACCTTAAGCTCTGTGCAGGCATCCTCCGAGCCCTCCGCAACCGCCGAGTCGTTGCTGAGCATGCCCGCTGTGCTCCCCTTGGGCACCTAACCAAAGGTTGGCGGCGGCGAGCAGCCCGCGGAGCTTGAGCACTCCGACGACGCTTTGCGGAAGCGGCCGTCGCCTGACGAGCGCCCTGACAATGGCAGACGCCTCGACGGCGACTCGGCCGAGTAGGGCGGCTGCTGGCGGAGCAGATTGGGCTGCAGCGGGTAGTGGTCCTCCTCTGGGCGGTCCACGCGCCTGTTCGAGGCCGACGATGAGCTCGCGCGCTGCACAGGCGCCGCCGGCTTTGCCTCCTCGACCGAGTACAGGGTGGGCGAGAACTCGTTCGATGCTGATGCTGGGGCGGGCGTGTACTGCCCTAGCTCCTGTTTGATCGCCCTGCGGATGGACACCGCGCGCCCGATCTCAGTGATCACACGCGGCGTCGTAATCCTCGTCGTCATCAAGCTTGCCCGTGGACATCACCTCGACCTCATCGTGGACGCCCCCGCGTGGTCGACCCCGCCGTCATACATGCCGCATGAGGCGCGCCCAATGACCCTGTCGTCGTCCCCTGCCCTAGCCATATAGGCCGCCGCCTCTTAGCCGCCTCCGACATGTCCGTACAGGTTCCAGCCGTTGCCATCAAGAAGGAGGTATCGGGGAGGAGGAGTTGTCGTGGAAGGTGTTGAGTCATGGTTCAGGAGGCAGCCTCGTGGCCGTCGTCGTCGTCGGGGCTGAGACTGAGGAACCATTCGTCGAATCTCTGGTCGTTCTGGGCGGCCTCATCGGGGCGGGCCGGTGGCCGTCGACGCCGTGCGTGGTCGGAGACAGCATCAGGAGGGGTCCGCGCCCGGCGGACGCCACATCAGGGCCCTGCCAGACCCCTGTGTTGGCGGCCCCACATGTGGTAGAGACGGCGACGAGGCTGTCGTCATAGGCACGTCCTCGACGCCGCGGTTCACGAGGCCGCGGTTGTGCATGACGAGACACCGGGCAACACCGCGTCCTCGGGGAGCCACCGTTGGAAGCGAGGAGAAGGCGGCGAGGGGAAGGCGGCGACGCCGTGTTGGCGAGGAGGCAGGGCCGTCGAGGCCTCGCCGTTGACGATCTCGGTGGTGTGCACGGGGAGGCAAGGTCCAGGCGGTGAGGTGGTCGGGACCTGGCGTGTAGAGACGGCGTGCAGGCCGCAGCGTGAAGAGCTGGCAGGATCGAGAAGGCTGCTGCACGCCTGGGGTCATCGGGACCGAGCGTGCAGGCAGCAGCGCGGAGGCCTCGGTGTCGTCGTCAGGGCCGTCGTGTCGAGCGGGCGCTGTTGTTGTCGAGGAGCAGGCGGGGTGGATGAAAACGTGAGGAGGCGCCGTCGAGTGAGGAGCCTGGGGTGAGGAGGCCGGGGTTGTTCACGAGACCTCGGGCGACGCGCCGTTGTCGAGGCAAGGGACCGGCAGTGGAGGCGGCAGGGTGGAGGCGGCGGCGTGGTGGGGATCGGACGTGGAGGCGGCGTTGTCGAGCCTGGGACCGTCGTCGGCACCGGGCAGGGTCGAGGTGTGGTCGAGCCTGGCGGTGGAGGGGGTAGCATCGAGGCGGTAGAGTCGAGGCGGCGGAGTCGAGTCGAGGTCGTCGGAGGCGGTGGCTGCGAACCTGGTGTCGTCGTCGGGAGTGGGGATAGAGACGGAAGCGTTGAGGCGGCGGCGTGGTCGGGACAGGGCCGCGTCGAGGCGGTAGGGTCGAGGCGGCGTCGTCGAGTCGGCGTCGTCGAGTCGGCGTCGTCGAGTCGGCGTCGTCGAGTCGGTGTCGTCGAGTCGGTGTCGTCCGAGGCGGCAACTGCGAGCCTGATGTCGCCGTCAGCACCGGCCGGTGCGCGAGGATGCGGATGCGGATGCGGCAGCGGCCGTCTGGTCGAGGAGGGCGGCGCGGAGGAGGGCGGTGCTCGTGGCGGATATGGGCTTGGACTGGTCCTGCACGGTGCAGTCTCGGCCGCCGGCGCTGGGCATGGTGCGTCACAACTCAGAGGAGCGGCGTTAGCTGGAGGAAGCGGTGGTAGTGGTGGTGTGGGTGGTGGTGGTGGCGACAGCGGAGAAGGCGGAGGAGGTAGAGGGAAGGTGGAGGAGGCGGAGGACGTGTCGGGGTGGTGGACGGCGGTGGTGTCGAGCTGGAGCGAGCAGGCGAGCGCGGCGTCGAGCGGGAGATGCGGGTCAGTCGAGCGTAGGTCCGGGAAACCTATGCGATGCGCGAGGCGATGTGGACGATGCGGGCGAGCCGGCCGGTGGGCCAGCGGGCCGGTGGGCCAGCGGGCCGGTGGGCCAGCGGGCCAGTGGGCATGAGATCGTGCGAGGAGAGCGGGGAGGGTAGCACAGCGAGCGATCGGGTCGAGAGGGTCGGACGGGGGAGCGAGTCGGACGGGAGAGCGGGTCGAACGAGATAGCGGGGCGGACGGGAGAGCGGGTCGGATGTGGGAGAGGTTGAGCGGACGAGATGAGGGGGCGGGTAGAGTCGAGGGATATGCCGTTGAGGGCGACGTGGAGAGGAGGTCGAGGGCGAGAGGTGTGCGTGTACGGGGGAGGAACTGGGGCGAGTGACGACGTACCTATGGTTATGTCCTCGTCGTCCGTTTCCTCCCTCTTCTGTGCTCCTTCTCGTCCTCCTCCTCGTTGTCGTGGTTTTCCGCCTCGTCGAGTAGCGTTGGTTCGTGGGTGTTGGTGGAATGGGACGCCGCTGCCGTGGAGACCGTGGATTGTGTCGAATGAGACAGCGGTGGGAGCAAGCAACTGTTCGAAGGGACGCGTGTGCAAGGGACCGAGGGAACGAGTAGTCGAGGCAGATGAGCGGTCGTGGCATCGAACGAGCCGAGCGGGAGCGCACGAGGGAGCCGAGAGAGAGAGGGATATACTGGACGAGAGCGGGAGGGACGGATGTGCAGGTCGACGCAAAGAAAGACGACGTACCCCGTTTGTGCCCTCTCTGTTCCCCCTTGTCTTTCCGCCGCCGCCGCTGTTCCTCAGCGTCATCTTCCTCAGCGTCGTTGTCGTTGTCATCGTCATCTTGGTCGCCTTCGTTGTCGTCGTCGTTGACGCTCGGACATTTGCGATGATTGGCGTGCCATCGGGCAGCGTGGGCGTAGGGGCGTTGGTGGAGCGGGACGCCATCGCCGTGGAAACCGTGCAGCACGCCAAACGAGACAGTGATGGGCGCAGGCGTGGGGTCGAAGGGATGCGTGTGCACGACGCCGAGGGAACAAGTGAAGGGTTGAGGCGGACGAGCGGGAGCTGGAGAGTCACGAAGTTAATTAAGTGGTCGCGTGGGCGCGACGCGAAGTTGAGTCCTTCGCACCCGTCTCTAACTCAAGTCTGTCCGCGCGCAAACCTCAGCCTTCGTCCCCTCGCCCTCGCCTCGACACCATGCACACCCACCACCCACTTCCTTCGCCTTCGTCCTCCCATCCTCCTGGCCCGATGCACACGCGTTCACTCGGTCACAACAACTCCTTCGACTACTCCCTCACGCGCCCCTGCCGCCGCCACACCCGTGCTTCGCCCTTGCGCACAGCGTGTCGCAATCGTCACGCTACCCATGCTTCAGCGCGTCGACGGCGAGGGTGAGGAGAGTTGTCAATGAGAAGAGAAGGTGCGAAGAGGAATGCCATGAAAAAGGTCCGTATCACTTACTTTCGCTAGCCCTCCCCCAGCCCTAGTCCTGCCCCTCCCTGCCCGGCCCTGCCTGTCCCGCGCACCTGCGCACACCCGGAAGCGGCTCCTCACGCCGCGTCTCTTCCCCTGCTCTCTCCTAGGAAGCGAGGGCACGACCACGCTCCCCGGTACCCTACCGCCCGACGCCTTGTTCTCCAAACACGCCCACTCGACGCTGCGCACCGCCGCGCACGCATCGCACGAGCGCACCCTGTCCTCCGCCTCCGGCTACGCGCACCACCATGTGGCCGGCGCTGCCAAGAGCACCACCTCGCCCGCGAAGCAGCGCTACGTCGCGGACGCGCACGGCCTAGAGATCGTCAAGAAGATCCGGCAGGGCGAGGTCGAGCTGCGCGATCGCACCATCGTCCTGTGCGGCATCAAAGCCAACGTCCGTCCAGCTCGCTTTGCGAAGCTGAGGGCCATCAAGGACGCGAAGAAGCTAGGCAAAGCCCCCACCGCGATCCCCGCTATCTCAGGTTTAAAACGCCTCCGCAGCCGACATCGTGGCAGCGCAGGGGAAAGAGGCGGCGGTGAGCGGGGGCATAGGCGTGGACGAGGACAGAGACGGGGTCGGGAAGGGAAAGGTTAGTCCCTCGAGGATCTGTAGATAGTAGAAGTTAAGGAAAAGAGAATGAAACATCATGTATCAGTACATGCCCTCGGCGATGCAGAGGCCCATCGTCTGTTTGCAAAGCCGAGTGCGAGAAATAAAGGGTACAATAAGATATAATAAGAACATACTCACAGTGCAGGCATCTGTAAGTTTAATGCTCGTAGGCTGTCTCATTCATGTAGAGTCGAGTTTGTGCAGGTTTTGTGCTTGTTGGCACAGCGGAATCCTGATACGCGGCTGACATGACGAGCCTATCTAGCCACGGAGAGGCCCGTCATGTCAGGCGCGTATCAAGACTCAGCCCTGCCAATACGCGGCTGACATGACGAGCCTGTGCAGCAGCAGACAGGTTCATCATGTCAGCCGTGTATTAGCAGAGCTGAGTCCTGATACGCACCTGACATGACGAGCCTCTCCAGCCGCAGTGAGGCTCGTCATGTCAGCCGCGTATCAAGACTCAGCCAAGCTGATACGCGGCTGACATGATGAACCTGTCTGCTGCT